TGTATAATTTTAGTCAAGTAATGGGAAGAAGGGGCTGGTGGTGTGTCAACAGAGAAGTATTTTAGAAGCTCAGATTAAAATTTTAAGGGGCAAACTATTTCTTGTCACCATATGGCTGCGTCAATCAAGTTAAAAATCCAGTTTAAGAATAAAAGCTACTATTACAAAAACGAACAACATGATAGTTGTTTATCTGCAGAGTTGTTAACAAGGCCAAGGCCAAAGCCAAGGCCACATGTTACAAGGCCGAGGCCAAAAGTTACGAGGCTAAAGACAATGCCAAGGCCACATGTTACAAGGCCAAGGTCAAGAATAAGAGTTTTAAGGCCAAGGCCTACGCAAACATTTTCAAGACCACAAGCTTGTCTTACGTTAAGGCCAGTTAATAACAAAACTGTAGGTAGCAATTGCAGGGAAAATAAAACTACATGAAATTAGATCAAGGTTATGCGTAGAATTCAACGAAGTTAATATGAAAATATACTTGTAGATATATATGAAAGCCGAAAACAAAAATAAATAAAAACAACGAACAAAAACTTTCAATTCTTTAATTTTATGAGTTTATTTATCAAGGTCAAGGCCAAAACAATCAAGGCCAAAGCCAAAATTGTCAGGGCCAAGGCCTTAACTTTTGGCCTTAAAACAAGACCAATGCCAAGGCCAAGAACTTACAACTCTGTTTAGTTGTCAAAAACATGTAGATTTCAAGGTCACAAATCTTTAATCAGCTGCATTCTAGTATGATTATTAGTATCCCTACAGTTCAAAGATATCTTGACAAGGACTTATTTTTTTAATTTTTTCAAAAATACCGTGCTGGAATAAGGTCACACCTTTTTAAAAAAAAATATTCGTTGTTGTCTCAAATTTTGCAATAAACACAAGTGTTAAATGTTAAAATGTGGCGAGGTGTCATGTTCCCAGACAAAGTGTAAGGTAGCAGTTTGCAGCACACAAGTTCAATGTTTTGTCAATTATTGTTTGTCAATATTTGTCAACAAAAATTGTTAAAACTTAAAGCTTGTTCAATTGTTAATGCTCTAAGAGTTTACCCAATTTAAACCCCAAAAGAACTGTTTAAAAAAAATATTGAAACTAGAAGTTTCTAAGTAGAACCCAACCTCACTATCAGTTCCAAAAAGAAAAAAGTCAAAATGAAAGCGCGATGTGATAAAACAACATCCGAATAAAATGAGTCTTGTTGCCTCAATGCCGCCAAGAATAAATGCTGTTCTAAAAGTTTGAGGGGTCCATTATTTAGTATATTAGAAATTTTATAGCTTGTATCTTTGTATTTTTTTATATTATGTTATTTTACTTTAGATTTACTGATAGATTGTAAAGGGTTTCATGATATGTTCAATACAAGGGCGGATTCAATCTTTTTAAGTTGCTTGATACATTTTAAGTGGCAACAAGGATACAATTTTTTTATTATTAGAAAATCTTAATAATAATTTTTTTACATTTAATAAATAATATCTTTTCAGAGCTTTGAACTTCACATAAACTGATTAAAAATACTATTACTCTTTTCACAATGTTTACTAAAATGTTTTTTCAATTAATAATTTTGGAACCGGCTAGTTAAAACATAATTATATCCTTATATAATTTACATAATTACACAAGTCCCCATCAGTTTGTAAATTTACATTTGCAAACTGATGGGGACTTGTGTACAGCTGATCTTGATTGGATTAGAGATGGCTTTCAAAAGTTGTTTTGAATTGGTAATAATTGTTGGTATATGATTTTTTAAAAAGTTTAATTTATACGTTTATCTATTTGCAAAAATTTGTCTTCAAAATGATTGATACGTATCGCTGTTTTTGTGACTGATTGGATTCTCACAGTTTTCTGTGAGAATCAAATCGGCTTGTTTGAAAAACTTAATCCAAGACTTTCAAAGATCTAGACGACTGCTATTAGGAGAACTAAAGACAGTTTTGTATGGAGCGTGATGGATTTACTGAAACATTCTTCAATATTTCGCTTATAGCTTCTTTTACAAAATACAACACAACAACCTTTCTGCATTGACAAATAAAGTATATTTTGAATTTCTAATTTAAATTATGTAAATATTATAATCTGTCACTTTGTAAACTCTGAAACCACTTTTTTTTGGCTTTCTAAAAATTACTAAGTTTTAGTCAATAAAGCAGCAAATCCATGTTAAATAGCAGTTAATTATAACAATTATAAAATGCAAAATAATGAAAATAAAATAAAGATGAATGAGATAATCGAAATTATTGAAATAAATGAAATAAAGAAAATGAATGAAATAAATTTTTTTATATTTTCAGTTTTTGGGCATAATCTCAAATATGCTAAATACGGATCTGAGGAAATTAGAAGTTTTTAATGATTCCGTATTTGTACCTATTTGTGATATTTTCCTCGTAAACTTTTTTTCTATATATAGGGAACAATACATATAGAAAACAACTATCCTGGTATTCTGGCTTTCTCAAATAAGATATACTCGATCTAAGATCACCAATATAACTGATATGATGTATCGAGTTCTCTCGTATATCAATAAACAAAAAAATCTCAAACTAATATATTGGGATTAGTTCATTGCTTCATCAGTTGATTTACTTGATGATGTAATGGTAATAATAACTCATGTTGATTTACTTGATGATGTAATGGTAATAATAACTTCATTAGTAAATATTAACAGTAGTGTTGTTCCTCCAAGCTCATAGGAGTGAAAAACCTTTTTATTTTAACTTTATTTTGTATTATCTTACATTTGGATTGTCTCAAGTACTCTCGAGTCCTTAATACAAGGGAAAGGGGGTGGTTACTCAAGATCTAATAAAAAAAGGAGGTGAGAATTTATACTAAAAGTTTTATTATTTATTAGTTACTAGTATATATTTTGTAAATTTTAAGGCCGATTTTCACTGAATTATTTTTTTTAGTTTCGATAGTTTTAGAATTTTTTTGTTGATAACAAGTGAAAACTAATAAACAGAGTGGTCTTAATAAGCTTAAGGTAGGTGGAAGAGTTTTCAAAAGTTTAATAAAAATCCCCCCTACCCTTCTACTAAAGACTCAAGAGTAGTAAATTTTATATTACTAAATAATAAGAATTGTTAACAGTTTATTGATTTTTTATTTCTGAAAAAAGTGCCAAAATGTCGTTGACAAAGTAAGATATTTAATAAGTTTATTTATATGCATTCCTTGCAGAACCATTTACCGTTAGGGGCATTTTTTATTTTAATACAACTGTAATGAAACCATCCTATTTTGCAGTTTTTTCCGTCGCATCCAATCAGGATGCGACGGAAAAAACTGCAAAACTTGGGCGTTTGCAAATGCAGTATGTTTGATCGCTCAAAAGGTTGTTAGGATCATTTTTTCTAGACACTATTTCAGGTAGTAAAAATTTAAAAAATATTGGATTTTTGTGAAGAACATGCAATCCAGTTTCTGTAACAACTATATTTGTATGTGTTTTCGCCACTAATTGCTTGTAAGAATTTATTGCTACAGTCTCCATTTTCTTACCATAACTCGTAGGTTTTGTAATGAATTCTGCGTTGTATTGCATCACTGTGTTTATAAACGACTTAGGGTATTTATCAACTTTTATGTTGCACGCAGTTTTTGATAACGATGCTGTTATTCTACCTGCCCTGTGCAACATCCAGATTCTACTAGCGTTTTGAATCTTTGTAACTTTAAGTAAATTGCTGTACATGTTAACACTTTGAGTGATTTTGTACTTCTCGTATGATTCTGCGTAATATTTTGTTAAGGTGGAATCATCTAAATTAATTGATGCAAGCAAATATAGTGAAGTAAGTCGTTCCGGCAAATTATATTTATTGTAACTGTCATCCTCCTCCGCAGTATCTGTATCACTACAATGTTTTTTGCTTTTATTTTTAATGTCTACAGACTGAAGAACAACAGCATTCTTATACAATTTTTTTAGTTCTAGTAACTTTTTTTTTTACCATCTGAAGTTGGTGTAGGATCCTTAAAGCTGTAAGGTCGTTCATCCTGTGAGTTTTCATTGTTACTAATATTTGGAAGAGTTTCACGCTTCTTTGGTCGGGAAAAATTTTTTTTTTAGTGGGGCTGGGGTTGCTGATTTGCGTGATTTTTTCCAACTGCACAATGCGCTTGTGCAAGATATTTTATTTAAACCGAGCTGTGCACACGCAACAAGCTTAAACAACAAAGCACCGATGTGACCACACAGAGCCCAATCTATAATTTTAAAAATGTATAACCAATTAAACTTCTTAAAATACTTGTTTAAAATAAAACTAGAATTAAATTATTTAACTAATGTACTTACCCCGCCATGCATTTGCAATTTGCAGTTAAAATCCACCCATTAACTTTATTTATTGCAACCCACACTTCGTAACATTTCTGCTTCTTTTCTTGTCTTTGACTTGGAAGTACCTTTAATAAATTAAAAGTCGAAAAAATAAGTAAAAATGTATATCGTTTTACATTTTACTCAAAATAAATTTTATGGTTTTAACTTTTCAAACACTTTTTTTTTTTGCCACTTTGACGGTGAACTTTACTTTGTAATATGCAAAATTACCTCAGATTTAATAAAACAAAATTCATTCGTTTTTTCAATTAAATTATAGTATACATCTTGAACATGCCCACAAATGTAAAAGTTGTACGATTCCAATGATTTATAGGCTTTCATTGAATCGTGTGTAAAGTTACTTGAGGAGTTAATAAGGTAATTGTACATGTCACCCCATGTAATGTCGGGCATCATTGAAACGCCATTTTTCCAATTTTCAAGTACGAAAGGGTCAGGGAGTAACATTCCATTTGACAAAGTTAATTTTTTTTATATGCATCTTTATTGTTTTCTTCTAATGTTATTAAGTAATCAGATTCACTTCACATTTTCTTTTGCGTGTTTTCTTTCTATCCTGCTAGTGTCCTTCGCGTCCGAAAAAATGTAAACGCGCGACGTCACAAATTCATCTTATAGATGAATTTCAAAAAAAAACAATTGGATCAGTAAAATGTCGTATTCTACCAGGGTATGAAGCACAAAGGTTATTAAAGCTGAATGATGTTAATGTGGTTATAACAATGAAGATTGATAAATCAGATGATGGTCCTGTTTACCGAATTATTGTTTCTGACTTATTAATTGATTGCAAGTCATTGCATTCCTTTTCTGTTGTTAAAGATGCTTTTAGCAAATTAAACTGTATTAGTTCTAAAAACTGGTCTGGTTTTCAGTTTTTTGGCTTGGATAGAAGTAAAGTAATCAATAAAACATCTTTTCCAATTATAAAATTTGATACACCATCTTTTGATAACATTGAACAAAACAACAACAGTGTAATAGTTGATTTACTGAATATAAGAAAACGTGGTGCTGGAAAAACTAGTTCGCTTCTCAGTAAAAAAGCTATAAAATCTCGGAATAAGACAATTCATTCATTAGTAGAGTTAGCAAGCTATGGTGATATAAAAAGTAAGTAGTTCTAATGTTCTATATTTTATTCTGATTAATTTATTGAATCTATAAAATTTAAATCACTTTTTTAGGTTTTGTGAGCTACATAATAAATGAGTGCCCAGAAATTGTTGTAGAAGTTATAGATGAAAATACTGATTTCTTAGTTCATATTGTTGAAAGACTTAGGTTTATAATATCTGTTAAAAATCTTGATTGTCAACAAACTGCTACAATAATGATAGATAAAATTGAAATTTTACAGAGATCTTATAAAGTTTTATAAGGTATTCTCAAGAAAAATAATATAAACATTCCTACATATGACAACCTTAGAAAATACTGTCTTAACACAGATGTAGGTCTAATTCAACATGCTCATAATGATGCTAGTGTCGACTGTAAGTGTTTTGGTTACTCTTGTAATGTTGAAGAAACACTACGAAGAGTCCTATCAACCCCTTCTCTTTATGAAAAATTTGGGTTTTTTTCCATTGAATAACAACAAGTGATAAGAGATTTCTTAATTCAGAAGAATAATACTCTTTATGAAAAGTTTGACATAAATAGTAAAACTTTAATTCTGCGTGACACTGGAGATAATTTTCGTGCTGCTAGTCGTTATCCAACTGAGCAAACTTCTTTTTCAATATTGAATTTAACTCCTATGATTAACAGCCCATATGGACAATTTATCACAACTCTTTGGCGAGGTAATGAAAGTCATGAGAGTATTAAGTTACATGTGCAAAAAGTATACACAGATTTGACAAATCTAGTTAAAAATGGATTAACAGTGTGTATTAATGGTAGTAAAATTGAACACTTTAATGTGATTTTATTTCTAGTTGCAGATCTTAGTTTCACTAACGAAGTTATTGGTAAATGCTCCAGTAATCAAACATATGGTTGCAATCATTGCAAGTTGCCAATTTATGACTGGGCCGTTGTAAATAAAAAGATTGGTACTATTCAATTGGTTGTTGATACACAAGAACGTGGGGAACATGCAAGGGTTGAGCTAGGCCCTAGACCAAACTAAGATTCAGCACAATATAAGAAGTTTACTGCTGACAACTATGGACAATGGGTAAAAAAAAATTTTATCATTTTAATTTTATGTTTATAACAAGAATCTTATAATAACACACTTAGATACTTCTGAAATATGAAAATCATAAAAAGTGTTCTAAAACATTACTTATTATTTCAGGGAACAGTGTTAATTGAAGGATTGATAATTGATTTCATGCCACCATGTGGCTTGCATTTAATTTTGGCACAACATAGATATCTTTGAAAATTTTTATTTGATGAAGTAAATAAGAGTTCACAAGAAAACCTTTTGTCTGAAGGATTGAGAAGATTGGGTGTTCGTATTTAGCATTTCAACTTGATTGTTATTTTAAAAGGTAAATATATCATTATTGATTTATGTGTGTTATATAATGTGTAGATATTTTTTTTATTTTTAGTCATTATTTTATAATTTTTTTAAATTTAAGTACAAAAATTAGAAAATATTTAGTTAATTGCAAACAGTTTCAGTTATTGATAAGTGCTTAAGAAGTGCTACATGTTTTCTTGTTTTACCAATGTGAAATTTAGCACAATATACTATATAAATATATTATTTAATAGTGTATGTAATAAATAATTATTAGTTACTTAGTTCAATGGACAAAATTGAAATGGTTTTCATAACCATTCAATCTAATACTGCACATAACTATTTTTAGCAAAAAGAAACATTATGATGGAACAGAGAATTTGAGAATGATTGTAAATGATTGTAAAATCTTAGAAGCAAATATAGATACTTTCCTTACTGTTTTTTATTGAGAATCAAGGTGTTTCATGGCAGTCTCAAAAAAAACAAAAATGAAGACATATCCTTCAACTTTACAATGCATGGGCTGATTTGGCTCAGTACATTTTTTATTTTAATCATTTTAATTTTATAGTTACTAGTAATAAGTAACTTTAGTAAATTGATTAAGTTGACTTAAGTTTAATGCTGGAAATACCAATAATATTCTTTAGTTAAAACTATTATTTTCTTATATACATATATTAACATACAGTATATCAACTTTTTACAGGGATGTTCGTTCCGTTCACCATGATCCTGATCGAATAAAATCCTTCAATGTTCGAGCAGAGGCATATTTTCAGCTATTTCTACATAATGCTGGAAATAAAATTTCGAAAATGCCATATATGCATTATTTGAGAAATCATCTTGGTATATTAATGGAAACATATTCCAAGTTATTTAATTGGGGGTATGGATGCTTTAATGCTAATGCAGGAGAACATTTAAATAAGCAAATAAAGTATTATGAGATTTCACATACTAATCTTTGCAAAAATCAATTCTATACAATTATTCATTTGATGAGATGCAAGCAATTTTGTTATACAGAAAATATTCTTCCTTCTTCAATAGTTGTTAAATGTTCAAAATGTCAGGAAGGACACAATAAGAAAAATAAAATTTGTCCCTTGCATGAAAGTCATCCTGAAATCGTATTTGAAAATAGTGAAAATGAAGATGAAGATTTGAATAAAAATGAATAAATGTTTTTTTTTTAATTTACAGTTAATAAATGAATTTAGATATGAATGAATGTATGCTTCATATGTCATTATGCAATAAATAATAATAAATATCATAACGTAATAAGTAGTATATGTCATAATGTGAATATATGGTATGAATTAATCTTTTATATATGATGATGCCTTTCTCTTTTAGACAAGGTGATGATGCCCTTTCTCTTTTAGACAAGGTGCAAAAACGCATTGTAAACATAGTTGGACCTGCTCTTGCAGCCAACCTTCAACCTCCGTCACATCGTCGTAATGTTGCTTCTCTTTCTCTTTTCTACAAATACTATAATGGGCACTGCTCTAAAGAGCTAGCGTCTCTTGTGCCATCTACTAAAATTCATTCTCGTGTTACTCGTCATTCAATTAAGTCTCATCTTTTTTCTGTTACTGTTCCTAAGTGCTCCAAAAACTCTTATTTGTCTAGTTTTTTCCCTCGAACATCAGTTCTTTGGAATTCGTTTCCTTCATCTTGCTTTCCTGATTCATATAAGTTGCAATATTTTAAGTCGTCTGTCAATCGTTATCTTGCTCTACAATCTTCATCTTTTTTCTTCCAGTAACTTCCAACACTAATTAGTGGTTGCTTGCAACCTTGTTGGAAGCAAAGATAATTAAAATATATATATATATATATATATATATATATATATATATATATATATATATATATATATATATATATATATATATATATATATATATATATATTATATATTTTTTTAAATTATGGTTACAATGTGGAACAAGTTATTACTGAATAATGTATACATTATTAATTAATAACTTGTTCTAAAATATAGAATATGTGGAATTGCCTGAAACCTTTTATAACAATACTAAAATACATTTTTAGGTACTAAAGGTGTTTTTCAATAAATTCAACTTTTTTTTATAGCTTCTAGTTAAATGTCTGATCTGCACAAAAACTTTTTTGATTGCGCTGCAAGGAACATCGAAAAGCGAGTAAAAAAGAAAATAAAGGATAACAATACATTAAAATCTGATATGGCTACTCCTCATCACAGAAAAGTAACTATATCGCATGTCCCTAAACTTTCATTTACGTGGGTGTACGGTAGACAATTCGATGCACCCACTGAAAAATGTAAAGGTAATACTAAAGATTTAACTGCTATTTTTTGTCTTAAATCTTTAAAGTGTGTTGTCACAATTTTGAGTACAAACGCAATTTTAAAAGTTCATAAATCAAATGATGTTTCACTTATTACTCCTTGGTATAATTTGTTGGATTCAAAAATTATTTTATTTGATGATAACAAACATTATTTTTACAACTCACTTATATATACATAAAAGAGGCATTGGAGTTGTCAGTCTGGATTTAAACAAAGATTTTGTATCTGTTCAAAAAGACCAAAATATTCAAGATGTCGATTTTCTTAAATACGTGGCATTTATTATGAAATAAGAGAAGTTCTTGTTCAGATTTTGATGTAATTTATTTTAAAACAATAGTTACAAAAGCAACAAACAACTGTAAATATGAAATTGTGAAGTCTCCAACCTTCCGTGGCAATATAGCGCATGTGGAAAAGTCTCATTTTAATTTGTACTTTAATGTTACTCTACAATTGAATAAAATCGATGCTGATGAGTATAGTGAGCTAGATATTTCATTCCAAAACGCGTGTTTTAACTGCCTTGGTTTTTTAGTTCACGAAGTTTGTATATAATATCTCGAAATATGATGGAAAATGAGATTTGGAAAAAAATAAAGATGTAATTTTTTTTTTTTTAAATAATTTTTTAAAGAATAGAGATTTTACAAAAATTACTTAATAAGTTATTATAAAAATTAACTCTTTTAATTTTTTAGCATAAAAGCTGATGATAAATGATTAATTAGCAAACGTTAAGCAAATGATTAATTAGCAAAATTAATTCAACGCATTGAATTAATGCTTTGCACAAAAATATTCTTTTTTAAAATGTAATTTGCCGAACATGCAATAAAAACAATTTTTTTTTTTTTTATTTGCATTCACTCCCAACAAGGCTGCAAGCAACTACTATCAAGTTGGGAGTTACTAGGAAAAAAAAGAACAGAGTTATAGAGCAAGGAAATGGTTGACAGAACACTTGAAAAGTTGAAGGTTGTATGAGTCAGGAAAACATGAAGATGGGAGAGAGTTCCAAAGGATTGAAGTGCGGGGAAAAAAACTAGATGAATAAAAGTTTTTAGAGCATGCAGGGACAGATACAGTAAACGAATGAGACTTAGCTGAATGACGAGTAAAACGAGAATGAATTTTAGTTGATGGAGCTAGAGATGATAACTCCTTTGAGCAGTGACCATGATAGTATTTGTAGAAAAGAGAAAGAGATGCAACTTTACGGCGATGGGAAAGAGGTTCAAGCTTAGCAGATATCCAACAACATTTACAATGCGTTTTTGGACCTTGTCAAGAAGAGAAAGTGAATTGTTAGAAGAACCAGCCCAAATAGTAAGAGGATTGCCATTCATTAATATAGGAATGTTGACCATATTACGGTAGTTGTTTGCAGTAAGCAACTGGGTTTTTTTAGAGTTAAAATTCACAAGCCACTGTGAACCCCAATCTATTACTGAAGTGAGATCGGATTCAAGATCAGCTGCTTGTTCTAGGCGATCGAAAAGAGAAGACTTTTTGTCAAGACATGAGTATAAAGTTGAGTCATCAGCAAAAAGAGCTACTTTAGATGAAAGGTTGTCAGGAAGATCATTTATGTAGATAAGAAACAAAACAGGGCCCTGGATGGAACCTTGGGGAACCCCAGAAGTTACTGGAAATAAAGAAGAGTGTTGGCCTCCAAGGATGACTTTAATAAACCGGTTAGAAAGAAATGATTTGATAATCTCAAAAACTTTCCCAGAAACACCATATGAAGCAAGCTTATGGAGAAGACCAGCATGCCAAAGTTTGTCGAAAGCTTTAGATATGTCGAGAGCAATAGCCCTAGCCTCACCGCCTCCATCTAATGCACGATAAAATCTTTCAGTTACAGCAGTTAGCAAGTCGGCCGTAGAGCGAGAGGATCGAAAACCGTATTGATTGTCCGACAGTTCAAACTCAAGTTTTAATGTTTCACTTCCAACCGTAGATCGCCGTGCGTACTGACAACATAAAAAAATAAAGAAATATTAATAGTTAACATTTTTTTATAGTTAACAGAACTACTTAACGTAGTTCTGTTAACTACAAAAAAATCTACTGTAATTGATTTTTTTTTTTTTCTTTAAGATGGCGTGTAAAAATATATAAAATAAGTTTAAAATCCTTTTTTTGAAAATTCCTCGAATGTCTTTTAAAATAAAATAATTTACCAATAATTTATTGGTAAACCTCTAAATATTACCCTACTTATTGAATAAATATTTAACAGTAAGTATTATTTCTGAAAAAATATTTTATAGCAGTGTTTACTTACAGCTCTTTTCAGATTAACCATAAATACTAATCTCAATACCATTTAAATGTGTTCAAATTATAATTTTTTGAATTTTGATAATACAAATATAATAATTAATGCTGATATATTTACACAGAAAAAAATATTCATATTATTATCAGTGATGGAGTGAAACATTTGTATTTTTTCTTCTTTTTATCTCATTTTAAGCTTTAAAAGGTTGTGCAACTTTTATATTGTTTTAACAGAATCAAAGTTTGTTGGTAAGTGTAGATTTTTTAATGATAAGAAGAAGTAATATGTTGAATATTTTCCTTTAGATGTAAGGAAATTACAAACGAATATCAAGTTGGTTAGAGCCTAATGCTCGTGCAATTAAAGCTGCTATGGTAACCCTTTGAATCTGATAGTTATTCACTCTGAGCAATATAGTATAATATTTTAAATCAAATTAACTGTGGAAAATGAATTTCAATAAACTGGTCACATTGCTTATATTTCATCAAACAACGTAAATATATTATCAATTTGAAACCGGAAGGTTACTTTTTCAAATATCTTCACCAAGCATCTGATATGCATAAGGTGTTTAAAAAAATGAAATTATAAAGTAAGTAAAATAAAATGTATTTTAAAATTTTCATTTATAGAAAGCATAGAAAGTCTTCAACAAAAGCTCAAATAAATGATCATATTGCAAATATTGAAAGGCCTCTTCATTGGTAAATAAATGTCAAACAATATGTATAGAGAATGCAAGCAATTGCTAAGCAGTTATATTTATTATTGTTTAGTTTCTTTTTGTATATTTATAGTATATACTATACCTGTAATCTTCTTGTATATTCACAGTTTTTAGTATTAGTTTGTATATTTATTTAGTTATGTTTTAGTTAACATAATATATTTAACTTAATAATTTAATGCTAAACTAATAAGCTGGAAAAAAAAAAAAAAAAATAATTGACATTATTTTGCAAATTAAAGTTTAATGTTAACATTTCGTTGTTGAAAAACCTGTAATACCTAATTTTTATTTTCAGGTTTTATTTTAAGCTAGTTTTTATTTTAGCCTAAATAACCATACCTAATAAAGGCTAGCAAATTCTATCAATTCAAATCCAAAAATTGTTTTCAGCTTCTTTTTGGACACAATTATGACTATTATTAATTATTACTATTTAATAAGACTTTAACTGTAGGGTTTTAATTATGATACAAACATTTAACTGTATGATTTTAATTATGACAATTATATACAAACATTTAACTATATGAGATAAATGAGCTAGCAAGTAAAAAACTTACTTTGATCAAACGTAGTTTGATTAGAGGATAAGAATATTAACTCTTCAAACTTTAGGAAATATAAGAATATTTACTCTTCTAAAAAAGTTTTTACCTATTTTTTTATGAATAAAAATTTAGGTTAACTTATTTTTTTATTATTTTTCATTGTGTTCAGTTTTCATTATTATTTTGTTGTTGTTAAAACTACTAAAATTTATGTTTATTTCAGAATAATAAAAATGAATAAACAAGAGAAAAAATCAATACTTGAGGGAATGGCGCTAAAATAGTCAAGCCTTAAATAATATACTTGTAAATGAAGAAATCTTAAAATTGTAAATGAAGAACTCATTGAATGTCAAATCCAATATTAATGAAGTCAAGAGTTGCATTGATTTTAAAAACATTAAAATTGAGAACTATAGTGACTTTTATTTTGTGTCTGATCATAAAGATTTCTAAAACTGAGAGTTCTGATCTAGACTCTGAGGTTCCTATAAATGATGTTAATGAAGATCTTAACGATGGAGTTCTTGTTACAGAGATTGCCAAATGCATTTTAAAACACAGAATAACTAGAAATGCAAGTGATGAACTGTTATTTTTTTAACTTTACACCATTATGGTCATCATGTTGATTTACCAAAATGCGCAAGGACAATTTTAAATACTCATAGGAATGTTCCAAGTGAGTTAAAATGTGGAGGTGAATATATTTATCTTGGTATTTCAAACAGCATATCAAGAACTTTACCAGTCAACTAGTATTATAGATTTGAGTCAAATACAATTTTTTTAGTTGTCAATGGCCTTCCCTTATTCAAGTCATCAAACACACAGACCTACATGCTTGACAAAGGTATACCATTTATTGTATCTATTTTTTGGTGATAACAAGCCAAATAATCGAGATGATTTTTATATGATTTTTTGAATGAGTATGAGTTTTTATTGGCAAATAGTTTTCAGTATAATTCATATAACTTCAATTACATCTTTAAAAAAATTGTTGCAAATGTGCCAATAAAACGTCAGGAAGTGTAAGCGTAACCATTTTCAAAAAATTGAGTCCCTTGAAGAATTTTATGATCTTGTAAATTGGTAATTTATATTTATAATTTCTATTTTTAAAGTTTGTCTGTTTGATAGAATGCTATTTAATTTCATCATTTTCTTGGTGAACCTATTTAAATTGCTCTCTCATTTTACCAGAGTATGGTGTAAAAGGTAAATTAATATTTAAAATGTAAAAGGTTAATTCATACAATACATAAATCCAGAATTATTTTAGTGACCTGATAGCCATTTACATTTTGTATAGTTTTTCACAGTCTTGTATTTTTTGTTAAATGATTTTGTCTTATATTTGGTTGAGCAACTATTTTGTTGCTTTAATAGAACAACTGTGACAAACAACCAAATGAATCTAATCCTGTCATATTTGAACATGAATTTTCTTTAACTCTGGATAATCAAACCGTTTAAATTGTGAGTAAATTTAATAGAAAAATCTAGCCCAATGAACGAAATTTAGAGAAACAAACAATTTTAATATTAATATTTGGACAAAATCAAATTTACATACAATCTAAAGTTAATTGGTAAATAAACTCCTGTGGTGAGAAATGTTAAACACAACAATTCAACAGACCAAATCATTGTTCTATCATGGTCTAAACATGATGGGCCAAACATAACATTAAAACTGTTGCATTAATTAGAATTAATAGCACATTTCGGCCGGCGGAACAAACAATTTTTATATATAAATTAGACAACTTTATCAACTTTTAAAAAGTCTTTTACGAGAACTGCCTCATTCATTTAGGTTCTCCCCTACAGGTTTCAGCTTTAATTCAATGTCGAAACTTTGAATATAAAACATTTATAAAAAAGTAAAGAACCTTTCAAAATTATACTTTTTGAATTATTATTCTAATGTGTGTTTACAATTAATTGAATAAGTTCGCTGGATCGATTGATGTAGTTTAACAAAGTAGTTATTTTTCATGTATTATTTTTTATTATGTTTTTATAGAATTATGGAGCATTATGTTACGGCTAAGTTGAATATAAAAAGCAAATTTCGTGGTGATATAAAGAAGGTATCATTCGAAAATAAAAAGTTGTGTAAAGCAATAATTGACACGTTAATAATAGCTCAATGTTGTTTTTTCTATCCCTTTTTCTTAACATGTTTTTTATTCTTAGATAAATATTAGTCTTGAACATTGAATGTTAGCGTTGAAAATCAAACAAATAGTCAATAATAAACAAATAAGTTTTTAACTGTTATCCTGTTTACAGTATCCTATGTTGTATTTTAGAAGTCATCCAACTAATGCACGAAAGTTCGACGGAAGCAAACAAAATATCAAATAGAAAGCATTTTAAAGTTCTCTCCAATGAACAATTATTTATTTTTGAATATTTTTGTAAATTTATAATACAAAAGATTATGTAATACATCTTTAAAAAAAATCTTTAAAAACATTTATTGTATTTTTAGTTTGAATATCCCCAAAACTATTTTTCTAACCCTTTGTAAGGGGTTAAAAACCCTTATATTATCTTTGAATATTGATTGTAATTGTGTTTAACATCTAATGGTAATTTATACGGTTATATTCATATAATAACCAAGACACGAAGCCGCGTATAATGGGCTTCGGTTCAGGGTTATATGAATATAACTATAGATATATTAACATTAAATATTGCACAATTATAATTAATATTTTACGTTAAAATAAAACGCTAATGTTTTTCCAACTTGTATTTACATTAGTATAACGTTAATCTAACTTTAGAATTTTACGTTAATATAACGTTAATATCTAACGTAAATCTAACGTAAGAATTTTACGTTACAAAACCTTTCCATTTTGCCGAACCGGCAACATTATACTAACATAAAATCTAACGTAAATAAAACGTTAATACAACGTTGTGTGCCTGCTGGGACATATATTTTATTAAAAGTAAATATAGGGGCTCTTTAAAAAAAATTGCGATGACGTATTGTCATTTTCATTTTTTTCATCATTTTTTTCTTTGAGCCCCTGTATGTTTAATTCTTTATTTTATAAAGATTATTGTTAATAGAAAAGGTTATATTTTATATTGTATATGCAAAAACGGTGCATGTTGACAGGGGTTTACTGTCTTCTTCGTTCTACGGACACATTTTTCTTTGTTGTATATATGTATGTTGATTTTTTTTGTTAAACAGCAAAATAAATGAAATAAAAGTTTAAAAAAAACTTTTGTTAGGGAATAACAAGCAATATAGCAGTACTGCCTATTGTGTTTATTACGAGCCTTTTGGGCTCTTCCTAGTATTGTCTAACAGAAAGTATGCAAGTTTACATAATTACTCCCAATACTAACCACCTTTTTCTATAAATTGATTTATGAAAACAATGTAAAATTATTTTATGATATGAGTTTTATGCATTCTAGAATAATTCCCAAGCGCTTAATTAATTCCAAGTGCATTCCTGTTATCTCAGGTGATTTGTAGCATTCCTGATAAATTACGAGCAGAATTTCCAAAGTTTGTTCTATAAGCTTGCTGTTTGGGTTCGTCATTTAAAAGAAGCTAAACCTACCTGGATTTCTTTCTTTTTTCTTTCTTTTTTTGATTTTTATTCCCTCTTTTATGCCAGGTTTTAATTCCTAAACGGTATGAAATGTGAAATATTCGAAGCATAAAGAGGTGATCAACCGAAAAAAAATTTTTTTTCTTTTTGTTTACCTAAACTATTTTGTTTACTTAAACTATTTAAAAAGCCTTTTGCTAAAAGTACTATAGTCACAAAAAAAATGTTTTGAGAAAATCTACTTTGATCAGAAATTTAACATTTCAAAATAAGGATTGATCAAAGTAAATTTTCATGACTGATTAAAGTAAATTTTCTCAAAACATATATTTTATGACTTAATTACTTTTAGCACTAATTTTTAATTTGTATTTTTCATTTCTGAATAATATAAATGAAGGTTGGTATTAACAAACTATAAGTGCAATAATGACATCAACCAAAGTAACATCACACATACGGCCACAATCTTAGCCTCAATAAATCAAAAATTTTAAAAATTCAATAATTAATGGAATGCCAGTACAAGTTCTTATCGACAAAGGATCTATTATTTATCTCTCTATATTTTATGTCTGAGAACAATCTTAACTTTAACACAAATATTAGGAAATCAATCTGTCTTGCAGATAACTCACCCACACAAATTATTGGCCAATATGACAGTATTTTAATAATAGGGAACCACTTATATTCAACTAAACTCTTTGTATTAAAACAGTTAGTATCACCTCTTATAAACATTTTACATAAACACTCAGCTCTAACACTTTATTTTGGAAGAAAACGTGAACCAATCCAATTCTGCCTTGCCCTATCTTCCATGAAATGTAAATTGTATGAATTTATTCCTGGAATCAACACATCTCAACTCATTCCAATTGCAACATCTTCACGACAACACAATCTGAATACGGACGTTATTAACAGTGAAATTACTCGGCTCTTAAATGATGATGTTATTCAAATCAGTCAAAGCCCCTGGAGAGCTCAATGCTTTGTCACAAACCTATCAAAAAAACCTCGTCCATTAATCGACTTCTCTAACATCATAAATATACATACTCCTCTGGATTCTTACCCCTGTCCTAGAATAGATGACCTACTAAATAAGGTAGCTATAAACAGTATGTTCAGTAAAATAGATCTAAAAAATGTTTACCACCAAATTCCACTAAAAAAGAAGTATTATTTATTGACCGCCTTCGAAGCTAATGGAAAGCTGTATGAATTTAAAAAACTCTCATTTGAGTACAGAAATACAGTAGCCATCTTCCAATGCATTATGAATGTTTTTGTCTTACTCTTATCTAGATGACGTTATTATATGCGGATCTAATCAAGAAGAACACGACAAAAATCTCTCAGCATATAAAAAAGCAGCAAACGATTTTGGAATGAAACTGAACAATGAAAAGTGTAAGTTTTCTCAAACCTCACTCTGTTTTCTTGGACACCTGAAAAAAAAAGAACGTTGAAACCAGATCCCAAAATGTTCCAGGCCTTACAACATTATCCTATTCCAACTAATATTAAACAATTAAACAGCATGATAGGCTTCTTTGCATACTATGCTAAATGGTTCCCTAATTGCACCAACCTAACTACCATACTGACTAATTATTGTGACTCGATAAGCAAAAATATCCCTCTTTCAGAAAAAGCTACCACAGCCATTAAACAATTAAAAGACCAAATAACCACAGCGTTTTTAGAGACACCTTACTAATATTCCACTTAAAATCGAAACTGGCGCTTCAATTCAATTCAATTCAATTCAATATATTCTGAAATAAGTTGTAAAATTTCAAGGACTTTTACAAATAGTACAAGTACTAATCTAAAGTAAAAACCTACAACATTACAATAAAAGTGATTATAATAACAATAAAAATAGTATTGATAATAATTATAGAAATAATATTAACAATAATAATAAGATGACGATGAAAAGGAATATTATTAGTAATAATACTAACAATAATAATAAAGATATTATACAATCAATTTTAGATAATAGCAATAATAGTGGTAATAACAATTACATAGTATAAGTAGTAAATAAACTTAAGAAAAAATTAAAAAAGCAATAATAATACTTATTATGTTATAAATAAAAATTACAATTTACTAATAAAGATAGAAGAATATTATTAATATCAATACTAATAATAACAATAAAAATATGAGAACAAAAAGTTAATAATAAAACTAGTAGGTATCAAGAAAGTAGTAATAATAAAAGCATAACAACATATTTCAGAGTCTTCAGGTATAATATCTTGCTAAAAAATAGTTAAAAAGACAGTTTTTGAAATTAGTAATAGAGTCAATTGATTATAATGGTGAAGGTAGACTGTTCCATGATTTTACACTTTGGTATTTTATGGATTTTAGACCATATTTTACAGAAGAATGATTTGGTACATGAAGATTATAGCTATTAGCAGATCGTAGATGATAGCGACAGCTTTCTCTAACAGTAAAAAAATTTGTAAATGTGCTGGGTAGACATTTTTGTTTATAATTAAAGACAAAATGGCAATTTAATAGTTGAACTAGATCATCAATTTTGAGTATTTTGGATAAAAAATAAAGATGATCGGAGTTAGATTGATAATGCTGAAAATATATTATTTTTAATGCTTTGCTTTGTAAGTTGAATAATCTTAAAATTTCTTGGGTGCGGATTTGTCCCCAAACTTGACACGCATACCTAAGATGTGATCCAAAAATGGCATGGTATATATTGATAAGAGTTTCAAGATTGACATAATGACGAATTTTAGCTAACATCCTATTCGATCTACATAGTTTTATTGACAAGTCCTTAAGATGTTGAGAAAAAGTTAAATTTGAGTCAATTTGATTCCAAGATACTTTAGGTACATAACTGGATTGATTTTTTGACCACTCAGCCTAAAATTTAGGTGTTTACTGATTTTAGATTGTTTTGATTTAAAGATGATAATTTCAGTTTTACTAGTATTCAGAGACAGTTTGTTAGATCGAAGCCATTGAATTAGATTAGATAGATCATGATTAATATATTTGTTTATTTTTTTTAATGATTTATTAATTAAAAGTAAGTTAGTGTCATCAGCAAAATGGTAGGAAGTTGATGGAACACTATGTCATTGATGGAACACTTCATTGATGGAACACTATGTCAGAAAGACCTATTGCATTTTTCTCCAGAGTCCTATAAAGGCCTAAAACAAAAAGTGACAAACATAAAAAATGGCGCTTAGAACTATCTGATTATCGGCTCAATATTTCATATAGATCTAGACCAGAAAATATTGCAGCAGATGTACTCTCTAGATGTCTTCCCATAAATACCAATCTTAGTACACCACGATAACTACATATCAAACTCTGCCATCCAGGGGTAATACAATTGAACCACTATTACAAGAAACGAAATTCACCCTACACTATCGGTGAAATAAGAGACATAGTTTCTGACTGTTAGGTATGCTGTGAGCTCAAGCCTAATTTTTTTCAACCCCCGCCTGGTCAACTTATCTAATCTACTAGACCATGGGAAAGACTCGCTATAAATTTTGTCGGCTCTCTTCCCTCAAAAACAGAAAAAAAATACCTTTTAGTCATAATTGAAGAGTATTCCAGATTCCATTTGCATTACCTCTGATACAGTAATAAAGCATCTTTTAGAAATATTTTCTCTCTTTAGCACCCCTACCTGTATTCACTCCGATCATGGTACTCAGTTTAAAAGAAGAAAACTAAGAAACTTTCTTATAAGCAACGATGTCACCAAGATACGAACAACACCATATCGACCACAACGAAACGGACAATGTGAAAGACTAAACTCTACGATCATAAAACAATAAACTTAGCTTTGGACTAAAACAAACTGGTTGAGAACTAGTATTCTCTGCAGCTCTATTTTCTATTCGATATCTACTATGCGCTTCAGTAAATTCTAGTCCACACAACAGATTAATGGGTTTGCAACGCTCAACTATTACTAGTGTTGATCTACCTGACTGTCCTCAGGGTTCAAGGCTCAAAATCAAGTTCGATTAAAAGAAGATCCATTGGTAGAACCAGTCACTTTGCTTGAAACTATATCACCATACTATGCACGCATAAAATATATTAATGGCAGAATTGACACCGTATTAACACGACATCTAGCACCATGTGCCATTCCCCACATTAAAGAAATAATCCAACCACCCAAAACTTTTAAGACATCAATTTCACTAGCAATAACTTTGAAACCGATGAAAATAACCTGATATCACCAACTGATTGCCATCTTCCGTCTGCTACTAATGATTCAATACCCTGACTACTACTCAAAACTTACTAGTTAAAACTAACAATCCACATCGTATCCACCCTCAAAGCTTAATTTGTAATAAAACTTAACTAAATAAAAAAACTATATATAAATATCTATTGGAATGGCGGAAGGCTGTGATATTGTGTTATTGTGTTATTGCAATATTGTGTTATTATATTTATATTATGTATACTGTGTTCCTTTATATTTTAGATAATATAATAAAACATTACTACTAAGTTACTTGTATTAGTCTTGATCGGGTCTACAACAGTATGTTAAAATTATATAAAACTTGTAAAATAATTTTATATACAATTATTCACTTCTTTTGCAAATCAGTATAGAATATTTACTAAAATTGAAAGCAATCATAATAAGATAAAATTGTAACAACCACCATTATATCAAAATAAAACAATCGAGAATGACGTTTCTGACGCGCAGCTATTATAATTATAAAACTATTAGTAGTGTCAGTTTCACCAACTTAAAAATTCATGCGTGCTCAGAAGAAATATTTATTCGCTGCTATGGTTCAAGATAAAATCTGGTCTGGGGTTTTATCTCTATGGTCTATCTGCAAACAAAATATAAAACTTTAATTTTTTTGAGTATTTTTTTCCCTCCTAGATTAAAATAACAAACTGTGAGTTCGGTGAAAAAGTTATAACTGTAATTTAAAAAAATGTTTATTTAAAATTATTACGTTATATCTAATGCGTGATGCTAATACTACGTTATTTCTACACTTTGCTAATATTAATATAAGACATAACGTAATAATAATAATAGTTATTATTATTACGTTATGTCTTATATTAATATACGCTAAACTAATTTTAAAAATGATGTAATAACACATTTATATAAAAGATGCAGGGCTGTCCTAAGGGGAGTGGGGGTGTAGGGATAGTCTAACCCCCGTAGGTAAATTATATTCAAAAATTAGTCGGCAAATTGGATGCTTCGGTCGACAAAAGTTTGTCGGCAATCAGCAAATGTCAGCCAACAAGGACTTTTTATTTTTATTTTTTAAAAGTTACAAATCACAGAGAGCCAGCGAGACAAATCGCAGAGAACAAGCGAGACAAAAATTTGCATTAACTGCGTTGAGCAGAGCCATTTTTAATAAAAAACTATAGCGCAGTTTTGTTACTCATTTGTTCACAGTTATATAAAAATTGCAACTATTGTCTTGGGAAGAACAAGCAAAAGTAAGTTTTTACAGCCACCAGAAACACGCAATCCGTTTAATTTTGCAGTTCAGTTTTATGTTTAATGATATTTTTTTGGGAATGATACTCAATAATAAACTAAATGTAATTAATGTTTTAATTTTTGTATAAAGATTAAATATTGTTTAATCTTTATACAAAAATTTACGTTAAATATTGATATATAAATGTTATAAATTAATATATATAGAAAAACAATTTATGCTCCTTAGGTTTTAATGATATATTTATTTTGAAACCAAAACAAGTTCTCCTTAAAAAAACAATAGTTTTTTAAATGAAGCGTTTCGCAAAATAAGTTTAATCGATGTTGTATTTCAAATCATTTTTCTGGAATAAGATTGTTTTTCCTAATTTTAATTTAACGATAACGTGTCCTGTCTTCAAAGATAAATTAAAAACTTCATTCTCTCAATTAATTCTCTCAAAATTATTTTTTAATACTTTTGAATACGTTGAGTGGCTTAATATATTTATTCAATATAAATATATAGAGAAATTTTAAGTATATTATTTATGTTATAGTATTATTTTTTTAAATTTATATCATTTTAATATAAATTGATATTTAGCAATAATTTCTGACGATAATATAGCTATGATTTATTAGATACCTTTGATTATGTTTTAATTTTTTAATAAGAAAATTCGAAAGAAAAAAAAAACAAAAAAAAAAAACAACTTCAAAAATTCTGTTCTCTGTTAAAATCAAATATTGAATTTCATTTTCGATGACTGATAATTGTGCTTGTAAAAACAACGGAGCCGAAACTGAAACCGACTTTTTCCAGTTGTAATTTTTCTTTTATTCATAATTATTTAACTAATAGACTAAGAAAATTGGGGCTTGAATTTTTATTAATTAGAATAAAATTTAGTATTAAATTTTAGGAATGGTAAATTAAAAAAAAAAATGTTTTCTAATGTTGGATGTTGTTGGAAAAAGAAGCAAAACATACTTGGAGCTGAAATAAACCTTCGCTCTTCAATTTACTCAATAATTTCAAAGGATCAAACTGGTGAAGATTCAGGTGATCATTGCATAGAAATTAATGAAAAAGTTACTTGCAAAGGATGGTTAGCAAATGATACTTCCAAATTCAAAATTTATGAAGGTGTCATTGAATTGGCGTCTAGCAAAATTGTATTAGTTTGTGTTATACAATGTATTGCAAATAACTTTGTTATTGGTTTTACTGATAATATGTTAGACAAAAAAAACCCATCATTTGATTACAGCAACGAGAATCATGTTATCAATATTAATAAAATTGATAAAGACCAGCTATTTGAGGTAGTGACAAAAGATGGTTATTTTTTTTTGCGGCTATATCATGACAAAACAAAAATTGTGAAATTCAACGAAAGTGGGGACGCTTTGCCAGCTAATGACCTTGAGTGCAATGCAAGTCTTTTCAGCAAAAGCGAAACAAAGTTTTAAAGATCTAAAAACAATTTTGATTCAAAAATCTAGAGTGAAATTATAAAATTGGATTGTTTTATAAATACAATTTATATATTGTTTATAAATATAATTAGAGCGTAAAATGTTTTTAATAACACAATTATGCAGCTTTAATATAAAGTACATAAACTGATTAACCTAACTTTGAAAATTGTTTTTTTTTTTTATATATTATCAAATCCTGATTCATTAATTGATAAATATTATCTTCTTTTTTTTTTTTTTTTAACATTTTTTTTCTATAAAAACTACAAAATTAATTATATCATTTTTTCTCTTATATTTGTTATAACAGATACTTTCAAGTTAACCTGTACTCCTCGGTCCCAGCTGGGATTTATCTAGTTTATTAGGATAGCTCTTTGAATGAGAATAGATCTGGGTAAAAAATGGGTCACATATGGTGTAACTAGGGGCAGTTCTACAAGGCAGTGGGCGGTGGTATTCCCTTTCCCCAAAAAATGGCGATTTTTAAGTTAAAGTTGGATTTTTGAGAAACATAGTTTATTCGGGCATTTAACAATTTCAGTCGCGTTATTTTTATTCCTAGATTATTTTATCCTAGAATCGCCCCTGGGTGTCGCAAATGGAATAATGGTAGCGAGTTATTTTCTGACGAACGGCTATTTCCTGAGATCGATCCCTGTTTAGATTAGTTAAAAATTTTGAATTTTGCAGAGTCCGATTTTGAAACATTTTGTTAGCTGCTAACTCCAAGAATTGTGGTCAAAGTGGGCAAATCCAGGTTTCGCGTTTTTAGTAAAATCCTGACCCGAAAATAATTAGCGCTTAAATGTCGAATTCGTTTTTAATAGTGATAAGTTATATCAAATTTTGCTATACTATATTAAAAATAATAATTTTATATATTATATACATAATAATTATTTATTTATTGGAAATTATAATGCATGCATGCATTAAAAATTTCCACAAATCTGTCGATACTTTTTTCCAATAAGCAAATCCAGGTTTCGCGTTTTTTGTAAAATCACGACCCGAATTATTTAAAATTATTTTAAACGGTTTATACTCATTTTCTTATAATAATTTGCAATAAATAAATAATTATTATGTATATAATATATAAATTTATTATGTATATAATATATAAAATCCCTTTTTTGATTGGATGAAAAATTTGACTTTACGCTTCGTCAAAAAAAAATTTCTCGTTATCCGGATTTTTACACGCTTTGCTAAAAAGCACATGTTTTATGAAAACGTTATATATTTTTAAAAACATAAGATAAAAACTTGTTAAACTTTTTTTAATTAAAAAACGTGCAATAATTTTAAGTATATTAATTTTGTAGCTGAAAAAGCATTTAAAACGGTACAGCACGCTGTAATTCTTTTTGCATTATATATTCTTCACCGAATAGTTAGGTGATAATCTTTATAGATTTATGCTAAAATTTTTTGCTAAATGTATTGTTTAGTTTTAATCTTTTTTATTAAGTACGTGGACTGATTTTTTTAAATCAATCAAATACTAGAATGTTATATATCATTTGAAAGACTTCATATACAGTATTTTAAAAATCAAAAAGTTATGGTAAACGGACATAATTCTATATAAAGTTATGACGTTTTTAGTCGCAAATTTTCGATATATGGGATTTGTAGCAGAATATTTGATAGATAGTTAAATAGTTGTATAATTTCTGTTTATACAAACTGATTAAATTAGTTTTATAATTATGTAAAGATCATTTACAAATATCTGTCTGAATTATACCCTTTCCCCGAGTAAATTACTAAACTTGCGTCTGAATTATCTCCTTCCTCCTAGTAAACCATTCAATAAAAGATGGTGCAATAATGGTATTGAGCGATGTAATAAATAGTAAACAACTATAAACTTTTAGTTATATATTAAATTGAAAATGCTTCACAAATACTTTTTTAAGTTTCTAAATTATTACCTCCCCTTAGTAAACCGTTTAATGTAAAATGGTGTGATAATGGTATAAAGTGATAATAATAGGAGTTATGCAACTATATATCAATAAGTTAAAAAGTTATGTTGAAATGATTTACAAATATACTGTTTGAATTATCACGTCCCCCTTATCAAAGTAAATCATGCAATACGAGATGTATGATATTGGTATTGAATGATATAAATTATTATTATACTAGCGATTCCACGGCTCAGCGAAAAACATTTGGCGTTGAACAAAAACCACGAAATTTTCATAAAGTTTGCTCTCTTATATCTTTTTGTATAAAAAAGCAAGCAACCTGAGGTTTTTTGCATCAATTAGTGTTACTCAACCTCTTTTCAGCCATATATGAAAAGTACTATGCTTTATATGGCTTCGCTTAAATATCATCCATATCTTGAGACCACTTTTGAGAAAAAATCTTCAAGCGGGAACATTTTTTTAAAATGAATCTTTTAGAGTAAAGATTTCGAAGTACCAAAACAAATCCAATTTTATAAAACTTTCCGTATATATTAAAAAAAGGTTAAGGAATCTAATGGAATGTGAACACTTTTTAATATTTATACATACAATTTTAGTTCTCAGTGTTTAAAAACTTCAAGGTTAGTTATTATAGAAAAAAAAGGAAATTTTTGAAAGTGGAAATGGCAAATTTCCACTTGAACCTTTTCAGTCTTTCTCCTTTTTAAAACAAGTCTTTAATTATGTTTCCTTAAAGAATAGGTGGTGTTTATATATTTCTTCGCGTATTTTAAGACGTTTTTTATTTTGATTTTGCAATTCCGAAATGTTAACTACAAATAAAATTGAAAGCGAAAGTATATTCCTTATTAATGACTTAAGTTTCAAGGCTATAAAAATAAAGATTTTATATTTTTAAAGGTATTTTGTCTGAAATGCTCAATTACAAGCTTGATTCTTACTGTTTCTACTTCTGTTTTTAGTCTGTAGATTCTCTAAACTGTTTTTTTCAAAACAAAAAGAAATAGTAATCAACTAAACTTTTAGTCTAAAGTTCACAAAATGGAAATGTGTAAGAATGTTATCATTTTTTTTCATTTTTTATTATTTTTTTTTATTGGCTAAGTAAAAGAACCAATGAACTCTAATTTCAAATTCTAATTCTCTTCTTTTAGGCTGTGAATTTAACAATCTATGTGAAATGGTGGTTCAATCTATAAGTCAAGAATGTAAGAATGAATGTAATGTATACTTTGATAGACTTTTTAAATTTTCAAATACGGAAAAATGTATAACAAACATTTTATATTTCAATAATTTTATTTATAGAAACTTAAGTTTGATGATCTACCTTTTATTTTCACAAAGCTAGATAAAGGGTACATTATCAAACTTCAACTCTTTGATTAACAAAAGATTTATTGAAATCACTCAAATTAAATTTAATATTAATTTTAGCTACCAAAGTGTTGTCAGAAACAGCAACATGCAAGAATATTTTGGATTTTCTGGATATAAATAATGGCATTATTTTTCTCAAATATCCTGATTTTGTGTCAACCAATAGCCATTTTCTACAGATTTGCAAAGACAAAAATAAAAATAACATAACATAACATAAGAAAATCTTTCATTATTTTTTACAACCTACTTTAAGTATAATATCTCTAGAGTGAGGCTCATAAGGATCTTAAAAAAGTTTAAAGATTACATTGTAAAATTAAATTGAGCCAAAAACTTGGACTTGAAAAAACATTTTTTAAGCTCTGCTTTATCTTTTATTGGCGCTTTTTCTGATGTTGTTGGTTTGTTACCTTCTGATGCTTGTTCTACCTCTACTTCTATCTACAATAGTGAATTTGTTCCCAATCAAGTTACTGTTTTTGTATCTTCTAAAATAAACTTGCAAATTACTAATGATGAATTTTCATGCCCTGTTACCCAACTTCTATTGTATACATCTCTTTAGAAAATAAATCTGAAAATTTTCTTACTGAAACGTGTGTTAGTGAAGAGAATCTTCCAGTTTCCAATTTAGATAAAAAACTACCTTTATTTTCTGGTGATTTGACCTATCAAATAAAAAGATACAAACAGAGAATTAATTACCTTTAATTAAAAAATAGACAAGTTAATAAAAGATGCAATGAATATAAGAGAAAGTATAAAGCTATCTTGTCAAAATATAATGCCAGAAATGTCAACAAAAGAGACATTAGAATAGATTGTAGGATTAGCCAATTGTTAAAAAACAATTTAAAATTTGAAAAAGAAATTGATTTGGCTAGAAAGCGTTCACAATCAGATTGACAAAAAGCATGGTGTTTAAAGAAAAAATTTGAAAACACTGTTTTGAAAAAATCTGATGAAACGAATGATTCATTCTTAAAGGAAATTTAAATTACTTCGAAAATCTCTGAGAAGAGCTGAAGGAAAGAGTTGACATATCTGAAAAAAATATAATTGATGTTTTTGAAGGAGGTTTAATAATGAAATTCGCTCTGTAAATTACAACTTTTTAAGTAAAAATGTTTCTCTTAATAATGTTGAGTCTGTTATCAGAAATGTACTTCAAAAAATGGCTAGAATTTCATGTGTCAACTTCCAAAAAAATCTTTGGCTGCTGAGTTTTTTAGCGAAATGAACCTTTTATCAATAGCTTAAGTGAGAGAGGCTATGTTGAATAGCACAAACAATGTTCTTCATACAGATAGCACAAAGTATAATTTTAGGGAGGTTGGTAGTTTTAAGTCACAACATCATCTGGTAGCTACACGTTTGGGGTAGAATAAATGTTTTCTGGAGAGGCACAATCTTATTTTGGAGAGCTAAAAATTTACTCACTGATATGTCTTCGATATTTTCTCCGGAACAGGAAAACTATGAGGATGATCTCAGGAAACTTATTTTTTTGTTCAAATCTTTTATGACTAATCGCACTATAGTTAATTCAAGTTTTTTTATCCAATTTAAACATTGGATAAAAAAACTTGAACAAAAAAAAAAAATTTCCTTTAAATGAAAAATGAAAAATTTCTCAAATGCATCATGTTTTTTGTGGCTTACACGTTATTCACAATCTATGAATATATGCAGAAAAATCAATCATAGAAAAAAGTGGTTGATCAGGAAGGTAGTATTCATTGTGGTTTTAAAAACTCTCAAAACTCTCGCACCTTTGATATTGATAACATCATTTTTCACGCATCAACTAGAGCTCTAGGAATTT